ATGATATAAAGGAATTACGAAGTGAGAAGAAGAAATTAGGGCTTACCGAAAAACGATGTAAACTCTTGAAGGTTTCGGGACTTGCGGAAATACGATGAAGAAGGTGAAAAGGAAAAATACGAAGTATGCTGAAGATAGGTTGAGAGAACAATTGCTTAAATGAAGGTTTAGTGAATAGAAACCGTGAATTTATCCGTATATATACGCTCGCAGTTTTCTAACCGTTGAAGATGGAGAGGCGCGTGGTTAAATGACGCGTCGATTCAGAGAAGTGCCCCTTTATTGTGACATGACGTTCAGATACAATCTCGTACGTACGCGTGTCCCAAAAACCGCCAACGTTAATGTCCGGAAATTTCGGTACGTGCCTACTGTGAAGAGTAGTGGACACACCACGTTCGTGACCTCTCGTAAACCGCATAATAAACTTCTCACAGTACAAAACGACTTTGATAAAGGAGCCACACTATGTGATTTTATCTAAGGAAAGTAACTCGGCACAAATTCGCAAAAGAGATCTTTAGATCAGCTCGGGAATCGAAAGCAATAGAAGGGAAAGTGTCATCAAAAAGTATGCATAATTTGCATACTTCTTAATGCCAGGGGCCTCTATGTTGACATCAAAATAAAATACTTCGATGTTACAATACAATTAAAGAAGTCGCGAAGATTAGTGCATAAATTAGATTCTAGACGACGTCGAGTAATACATTCAGCATCTCGGTAACCATACCTCGGTGCCAATAGGAGATCACGGATATTTGGAAGGTCATCCACACAAGTCGTCAGAACTTCGAAGAAGGCCAATTCGGTCAAAGAATTATTTATTAAGAAGTCGCAGATTATCGGAGATTAATCAAGATGCCGACATCACAAGAAAAACCGACTTCGATCCGACAGATGTGACACTCGTCACATCGATAGAGGCGCGCCCATGCTAATCATTGCCTGCAAGGTTCTCCTACGTCATCGCCGCCCCTAAGATGTCAAATCTTCATTAAAATGGGAATGATTTGTCTAGGGATGTGTGCCAAACATACCTATAAATAGCGGTTCCGAAAACGAGAGAAGGGTTCGAAAACTCATCATATACGCTCTTATATTCACCTCGGATATCTCATCGTAAACCGACTTGAAATTCATAAAAAACCGACCTTCTTGTATTAAAACCGACTTCGAAATATTCAATAAAAGTCTCATTTTCTACAATCTTTTGCGTTAATCTTACATTGTGAACGTTGATCAAATCCGTTTATCAACATGTTTAATAATTAATTGCAACTGTTCTTTTAACGATTTTTTTCGTAGCTCCCGTGCAAATGCACAGGCAACTGTACTAGTACTTTTTTAAATTGAAAGACTTTTGGAGACTTTTTCTTTAATAAAATTTCAAAGATAAAGACTGAATAAAAATCTCATCAAATTGGTGAGATTTTGCTATGGAATTCTCGGAATGTCCACCAAAATCATTAAAAATTTTATAAAATCCACCAAATTCACTCATTTTAAAAAAATCTTAAAAAGTTTAAAGTCTCAGTTGAATAGACCCCTCCTAAAATTTCTATTTCATCAAATACTTCCTCCTATTTTTATTATTTGTCATCTTAGCTTAATTAATCATTTGTTAAATAAATGTCATTTTGGCTATTTTGTACATATTTTTCCATTATTACCCTCATCTAATAAATATACTACGTCCTTTCATATTCACTCTTCATCTTTTCTCAAAACATCAATCTCTATCCTCATTAATGAAGGTTATTATTGGCAACAAAAATATTATTAATTATTGTGCAATTTCTCAAAACGACATTTATTAAAAATATGAGGAAGTAACATTTTTCAAACACACACATGTACTTACATATAGGGCTATCATTTTTTGGCCGAAAACCGAAAATCAAATTGAACGTGAAATAAACCGAACTATATCGACTCATTTATAATGGTAATCGATTACCGATTAACGATTTGTTATCGGTTCGGTATCGATTCCGAAACCATAAAGGTTAGATTTTACCGAACCAAACCGATTAGAAATAAAGAAAAATAGTAATTTTAGAAAATAAGTGCTCTGTTGCATCCTTACCCAGTTTCACTTACCCACATATAGCAATAGCACTGTGTAAAGTAAGGTCAAATCTCACAATCACAAATTCGCTCGGCGACACAAATCCAATCGGCTGCTTGCCATCTTAAATCAATATGAGAGACAAAGACGGGGTTGGAGTTATTCATCAAATCTGCTCCTGGCTACTTTAAGTATCTTTCGGAATTAATTGGTTACGTAAATGAAAGTTTTTACATTGTTGTAAATAAATAATTTTTTTTTGTTTTTTTAAGTCGCCCAATCAATCTGACTTGGTTTATCAATAGTTGCCTCACTGCAGAAGAAAAAATATTTTTATTGTAAGATTAGTTAACTATTGATAAAGCAGTGAGAGCAGTAAGGTTTGATTACCCACACTAAACCTTTATCAGTTTGATTACCGAACCAAATCCATCCCTACTTACATATATACTGATTGAAATGTACACTCAATTGGCATGTAATCTTTCACATAACACCGCCTCACTCCGTTTTTGTGTTGTACTTTTTTTTTTACTTTTATAATTTATTTGCTTTAACCGCAATAAACCAGAAAATTTGATGTAGGAACTAGTAAGCATCCCGTGCGATTCACGGATGAATTTGTACTTAAAACCTTATTTTAAATTTATTTTATTAATATGTTAGTTTGCTGGCCCGTTTATATTAATGTAAATAATATTTTAACACATATATTTATCTGTCGATAAAGCAAATAATTTTTTATTGTTTTTTTAAGTCGCCCAATCAATCTGACTTGGTTTATCAATAGTTGCCTCACTGCAGAAGAAAAAATATTTTTATTGTAAGATTAGTTAACTATTGATAAAGTGGTAGATGGGTCTGAAAGCGCAAAGCACGAGCAATATTAAGAATGTGTTGGTGCTTGCTGTTGATACCTAATTTTGGCCTAACCTATTATAATATTACACGTGGATATGTTTTATATTAATTTTTCGGGATATTTTTTGGGCCTTAAATAATGCTACTTGTGATAATATCGGGCCCGTTAAACGTATATATAAATACCCCAATGATGGACCTGGATAGATAAGTCTGAGGGGCGTTACTTATTTTTTCTCTCTGATGGAAGCGGTGCCGCAGAGGAAATCTTCTTCCTCCTACTTCTTTCTTTGGCCTGTTCCATCTTCTCTACTGAAAATTCATACGATATTCACCAAAAATCCAATACAAATAAATACAAAATAAATTCCTCTGAACCCCCCATGTTGATCAATTTTCGAGCATCAACAGTTTGGCGCTAGAAGAAGGGCCCATAATTTGCTCGGGTTAACTTTCACAGGAAGAATTGCCACGTCCTGACCGGAAAAAGATTATTCAAAAAAGTTTACACCTCCACAAAAGATGTGTTCATGGGATGAGAGAATCAAGGGACGAGCTTCGCTTTTCAAATTCCATGTAAAAGATATATACAAAACAAAAGGGGCTACTGCAAGTTACAGAAGAAGATAAGAAGAAATTACTTCTAAAGATTTATGCAAAAGATGAGGTAAACAGGAGCCAATCTCAATTTTCCTTGCGCTATAATTGGCCACGGCACCTTTATTTT